AAGATTGTTTCGTTCTTCTGTCCCATCGATGTGGGATCTCACATTGACATAACTAAAAACAACACGGTAACTTATATCGTCATTGTTGTCGTCTTCTTTCAGGACTATAATCCCAAGCTTTCAGATTTCGGGTTAGCTATAAACGATCCCAATGAAGACGATACACATATATCGACCCGAATAATGGGAACTGAAGGTTATGCAGACCCAGTATACATCATGACAGGTTCATAACTAGCCGTTAAATAAAAAAGAACTCGCAGCAGTCATATCTGATCAAACTTCTGTTTTTTTAGGTCATTTGTCAACAATGAGCGATGTATTCAGCTTTTTGGAGTGTTTCTATTGGAGTTGCTAACGGGTCGACAAGAGTCGCCCGAGCCGAGAACGGAACTTGGTGGCTTGGGGAAAGCATCTCTTGAAAGATCACCACAAACTTGAGAAGATCATTGATCCAAGGCTGGAGGGGCTATACTCAAATGAAGGGGCTAAAAAAGTGGCTGCAATAGCTTATAGTTGCCTTAGCCACCACCCAAAATGCAGGCCCTCAATGAGCTCAGTGGTTAAGGATTTGGAGCCTGTTCTTAACATGAAAGAGTTCTTAACTGAGCCATTTGTGTATGTTGTCCCAAGTGAAGGGATCGAAAGGGAAGACGATGTAGAGAAGAAGATGAACATAGACGTCGAGATGGGATGGTAAGAGAGCGGAGAGCCGTCGTCGGGATCGAGAAGGTTGCAGCCACAGGCTTCCGATACCGTCGTCGAGGTTGAGATCGAGATCGATAGCATTGTTGTTTGAGTTATAGTTTTACTTTTAAAGATAACACGTGTATCAAAATTAAACATGTTTTTGCTTGAAATAATTCTACGTGAGGTGATTTCTTAAAAAAATTTATAGTAAATATGTGAATGAGAACAAAACGTGTAGGAACGACCCTCGGGAAAATGAGATGTAAAATACGAATTCCAAATCTTGATATAAATTTCGGGCATAGGGTTAGAGATGTCGACGGAATGAGGACGGGGAAGCGATACTCATTCCCATCCTGCCACCTATTTCATTTCTCACATTGCTTCTCCATTTTTGCGAAGATCGGGACGAAGATTCATCGCGAGAAATTCGTGGGGATCGAGTTTTCATTTTTCAATATAATATTTATTAATAAATTATAAATAAAAAAAATACTAATAAACTAATAAAGTAATGTAACAAGCTAGTTTTTTTTTTTTTTTTTTAATAAAGTGTTAAAAATATATTTATATTAAGTGGGAATAGAGAAAATAATTATGTCCCTGACTCCCTTTATCTGACCGAAAAAAAGCTATATATATCAAACATTTACTTCATGTAAATTAAATAAAGTGTTTTTGATAATTTTGTTCGAGGCAAATTTACAATATAAAAACTATATTATAAAATAAAAATTACATAAAGTCTTTAAGTAAACTTAATGCATTTTATACATACTATAGAACAAACTTTATGGCTTATTTTAATATAGTTGATCACATCAATGCTATATCCCTAAATCTAAATATACTCTTTTTAAATATTTAAATTATATCATAATTTTAAATGAATAAGAGTCTTAGGCTCAACAATGGCGGGAGTGGCATCAAATCGACACGCTATTCGGAACTCCTCGGCAAGTGACTCCCGGTTCCGAGCTCGGCGCTAGCAGTTCATACGCCAAAACACCGGCGCCGCATCGGTTCTTCAGCCGTCCGTCGGAATTTCTTCTGTCGATCTCCTTCTCGATGCGTCCGATTTCCGCTGAGAATTCGTAGAATGCCTCCACCATCTCCGCGTCCCCTGTCCAAATCGATGGCTGCTGCCTTTCTCCGAGGTACTCCTCGTCCGGCGAGTGCGTTGACAATGTGTCCACCACCGCCATGAACTTCGTCGCCTGCAGCACGCTTGGCAATGCCGACAAGAAATACTTCTGAGGGTCGTTTAGAAAGATCGCATACTCTGGATCGTTTTCGTCGGGGATCAGCCGCCGCATCAATGGCGGCCGGTTCGGTACGTAGCCTCCGTACGGATACTGGCCGAAGTTCAGCGCTGCGTGTTGTGCCGACGAGAGCCAGATGAGTGTCGTGAGAATCGAGACGAGATCGTCGCTGTTGTTCAATTGCGGCCACCAGGTTTCATGGCGGAGATCAGCGTGCCCTACATTGACGGACTCCCTGTACCAGGTCTGCAACTCTTCATCTTCGCGGATGATATTGGCGTTTGGATAGTAATGTGTCACATAGGTCTTAACCCAACTCTCGATTGCGTCCCAAATTAGAAGTCCATCGCTAGCGTATGGATAGTCCTCGATCAAAAGCTTGAGTCCATGGGGCTTTGTGGGGTCCGGTTCGGCCATTCCCCTGCGTATGAGATCGGCAGGAAGACCTTCCATGTCGAAGCGCCAAAAGTTCTTGTACGCCGCAGCGCTGATCTCCATGCAGTAGCGGCCTGGAGTGAAGCAAGACTCGATCACTCCTTCGCCGTTGATCAGGCTTTGGCGCGCCAATGCATTGATCTCCATTGTGTATCGCATGTGTGGGTCTAAGAGCTTGAAGATTGGGTGCATTGCGCTTAGTTGCCTATGTGCTGCCAGTATAAATGGCTCTAAGCTCGCATGCGTTCTCAACCTGTGATCAACAGTAAGCCATTTTTAGTCATCAGAAAGCTCAATCCCTCTCTTCTTTTTAAGAGTTCGCTCAATTACCAGTGGTTAACAAGTTGATGAACTCCGGCGTCGTTGGAGCAGACGTGAGCCTTAGCGAGCTGCCATATCCAATTGCTTGTAGCTTCAACAGGTGGAGTCACGACACGCTTCGATCGAGAACTTGGCGCTGTTGATGGAAGGCTAAGCTCTATGGCGATAGGTTTGAGAGTTCCAAGTGGAGTCAAGAAGAAGATTGTGCGAGTTGCATATGTTTTCCGGCCGTCGAGAGCGTTGATCCGATCAATAAATGGAAGGTAAACATCATGGTAATCCACTATGAACAATTTTTTTTCATCCAATGCCTGTAACAATCAAAGCAATTTGAGGCAAGATATTGTTAGGATTTGAAAAAAATCAGAGTGATGGGTCAACATCTTGGAGTAATAATTCACCTGCTGCACAGTCATCCCATTAAGTTGGCCAAGAATGTGTTCTTCTTTAAGGGCAGATTCCTGTGGACCATAAACGTCGGGATCAAGGTTGCTCACTGGAGGGAAAACCTTGAGCCTCTCAATGTTGACTGGGTTAACTCCTGCTATTGCTTGGCGGCCAAATTCATCATCTCGTAGCCAGGCAAACTTGTCCTCTGCAATTGACATGACACACAAATGGTCAAATTTATGAATGATTGGGTTTGTCAATTTGCATATGGCAATGCCTGTCAATGAAGGTAGCTTTCTGAGTTTACCAAAGTTGAATAGATTATTCTATTTCATTAACTGGGATTAATCCAACTCTGTAAAACAGTTTATTTGAATCTTCATTAGAAAAGTAGTCTATCCCCATCTAGATTATCTAATTAGATGAGCTTTTGGCAAACTACAGGTATGATGATGCTAGCCAATTGTATGCATTTATGAGTAATTCTTTTGAAGGCTGATGATATCACTTACTGGAAAGGATCTTGGGTGTGTTGTATCGTAGCAGTCCTTGGCTGGATTCACTTACAACCCTTGGCAGTGGTAGCTTCTTCAGGAGTTTATCTTGTAAGCCTAATTTAAGGAGCACCCCTTTACTGTAAAGGCTGTCAATATCTGAAAACCCATGGAAATCATGTTTATTTGACAGAATGCTGGCTTTGAGAGATGGAATTAAGTTGTAAAGAACTGCCTTAAGCCTCCCAAGAGAGAAAGTGGTTTGCTTAGACTCCTCAAATTGTTCATCTCTTGGCACGTACATGGGTAACGGTTTCTCAACTCGACTCTCTGCTGTTATATCTGTAGTAGTATATACAATTATTAGATATGGCTTTTGTATAGCCTTTGCTAGATATTGTTACTATTGCAAACGTCGGTGTCGGTGTCGGTGTCGGATTTTACCTGTATCGGACGGGGCACGTCCAGTGCGACACCTTCTAGGATATGGAATTTTCTCACCACCAAGCCTTGGGCGAGAAAATTCTATTCCTTTGTCTGGATTTCCCAAGTCGTTGTACACGTCAAAGTCATATACTCGATCAGACAGTTTCCTCTCCCCTTTCCCATCACCTCTAATGTCTTTAAGTTCTTGTTCTCTTAATGCTTTAATCCCTGCAGGCGTCTCACCTGGTAGATAAGACTGCAGAATTGTATAACACATTAGATAACCTTAAAAAAAATCCACAGAACAAGAATAGAAGACAATATGTCATTTTCTAGGAAGGTTCGTTTATAATCGTAGCCATTTTCGATTTGAAATTGTTTTCCCTCATTTATGATTGCTGGTTTGATAATTATTTGGTACTTAGTTTTCTACTTTTGAAAATTGTGCTTGGATTTTACCATTTCTTAATCATACTTTTAAAATTCTGGTTTAGATTTTGAATGATATTAATAGGTGCAAGTGGTGGCCTGTTTAAGCGTAGTTAGGTAGGTTGAGTTCTGGGTCCACAGGCAATCTTATCAAATAGTGTGGCAGATTCAAGACTGTAGAAAGGAATGAAAGAAATGAAAGAAGAGTTTCAAACGGAAAAGAAATGGCTACAAATTTCCCCCATTTCTTTTCACCGCCCAATAGTCTATGTTAAAGAGGATTGTATTGTCATTCATTACAATGACAAGAGGAAGTGGAGTCATTTAAGAACAAAACTATGTAAGAACACATCACATCAGCTTTTACTAGCATTATCTCATAAAGGTCTGTATTATTAGTTGAAGACAAATTACAAAAGCTGAACTGAGAAAGAAAAAGTAACAGGGGTAAAAAAACTTACCTTATTAGAGAAAAATATCCTTTTTGCAGGGTGATCTTTTCTGGACTGAACCCAGGAATTGCAGGGAAAATGAATAGGATCGCTTGCCAATTGCTCGATCGTGATAGTCTCCAAGAAAAACTCCTGCTGGTGCTTGTTGGTAATTGTGATCGCTCCAGGCTCTCCAAAATCCGAGGTCAGTAAAAATTCTGCTATGTAATTTACCTTCTCGACTTTTAGATTAGTTTTCTTTGACCAATCCTTCAATACTGCTTCGTTGCTTTTCTTTGGAGTGTTTGTTTCTTCAATGATTCAAATCAAATTGAGTTAAGTAAAATATAAATCTACTCTAGTCAGGGAAGAAGTAAACATGAGGAAATCTTGAACATAGAACACCCAGAAATTGAAAAAAGAAAAGAGGGAAAAAAAAATGGCTCACTTGGGTCAATTTCAGTGCTGATAAGTTGTAGAACAACATTCTGGCCAATCCTATCAGTGAAAGCATCCAAATTCTTAACAATCGTCTCTTTAATGTCTTCCTTGTTCTTGTTTCTGATAGTTACAACAGCTCTGACCTTGAACTTGACTGGCTTCTCAGCCAAGGGCACAGCCTTAACCAAATCCTCACTAATTGCAGCCACAGGGCCGTTCACAGCCTTCCTTAAATTCATCACAATCCTCTTCTTCTCCATTGGAACAACCCCAAATGGCCTGAACTGCTTCTCGAGATAGCCTCTTTGAAACAACTTGGACTGAGAAACCAAAGATGTTTTGTGAAGAAAAGATGATCCCATAGTTTCATTTGCTAGTGCCATCCTCTCCAAACACACACGCCTTTACTTCTCTCTCCTACTTGTTTTGGAACTGGGAAGTTGGTTTCTTTTGGAGAAAATATAGGGGGAAAACGGAGGTTGGAAGAGAGTGTTCTTAGAGGGAACAAAAGAGTCTAATTGATTGGCCTCGCCACTGGGTTCTCTTTTTTATACAATTTAGAGAGAGAAAGAGAGCAGCTTTTTTCTTTCCCAGATCTCACCGTCCACACGTTTTAAGAGAACTTTTTTCTTTTTACAAGTTCAACGTGTGAGAAATGACTACGAAGACTTGAACCTTCTGATAATATCTTGATATTATTTTTCAAATAGTCTAGTAATAATAATATGGTTTGGTTAAACACTTATAAATGCTAGAAGAAGATTATCAAAGGCTAAAGGATTCATATCTTTAGGCAAAATCATTCAAGCCAACCCTTACATCCTGGTAAATATTAAATAGCTATATATTTATATCTTTCCTATATTTAGCTATATTATTACTAGCATAAATATATTTTAGTGTATATAAAAAAACACGCATGTATATATAGTGGTTGTTGAAGCCTTGAATAGCCCATTTAAAGCTCTACTAAAACGTTGGGTGTATTGGTCAATTTTTGTCATTTTTGAAGAGTTTGGGTATACAAACTAATCGACTACCCCGAAGATTGGTCGTTTACGTGGAGCAAGCAGACTCAACATTAAAAAAATGGTACTAGAATGAAAGAAAAAGAAAAGTAGAAGAAAAGAAGAAGAAACAAAACGAATAACAATGAGGAGAGGGAGACAGAGGAAATGGTCCAAAAAAATTACATGAAGACACTGTCTTTCCAAGGTGTTGTTGCTTGCTTCTCTTTTTTCTTTTGTCGGTTAGGTTGGATTCGAGTTCGAGTTCTTAATGAAGTGAATGTCCGACTGATGTGTCAGTTTTACTACATATAAAGCTAACTTCAATAGAAAACACCCTCAAACATGTTGGATTAGTTTGAGTTCTTAATCAAACTAATGATTAATTGGGTCAGTTTTACGGTATATAAAGCTTACTCCGATAGAAAACACCTTCAAGCCTATTGAGTTGGTTTGAGTTCGTAATGAAGATAATGACTGACCGATGTGTTAGTTTTACTATATATATACACATATATATAATGTCAATCCCAATAGAAAACACCCTCAAATTTATTGGGTTGGTTTGAGTTCTTAGTGAAGCTAATAACCATTTGATGAGTTAGTTTTACTATAAACAAACCTAACTCCAATTGAAAATATCTTCAAAACTATTGACCGAAGTCGATTCGATTCATTTATGTTGGTCGACTTGATTTTTCAGTCTCCAATGCCCATCTTACTAAAGACTATATAGACATGCTATATCTGGAAACGTGTTTATTTTTAATACTTATGTATTTAACTAGCTACGTCTAGTTGCCACTTTGAGAGATATTTTTAAGTCGATAATGACGAGTTTGCCACTTTGGAAGATGTCTTTAAGCCGGTAATGACAAGTCAAACTTTTATTTATTAGTACGACATGTTAGCCAATTTACTCCATTTTCATAAACATCTTTAAACCAAATTTCTAAAAAACCATGCTGGGTCATTCCAAGTAATTCAAAAGCTACTCATTTGAAGTAGCCAACCATTTGTATGTCCATTTCTTTTCATATTATTAAATCTATATAGCCACGTGTTATCGTTTTTTTTTATTTATTTAAAATTATTATTATTCACTTTACTTTTTAATAATTATCATTTCTTATACTTTAAAGTCATAATCTTTATCATTACGATTTCCCAATCATTATCGCATAGCCAGCTAAGATAATAAAATCTTCCCTAATTTTATAATTAAACACACACATATTTAGTTTTTTTATTACTTAATTCTAAATTAAATTCTGATGCACTATGATTAGGGCCCACCTTGCTTTGTAGTTTAAGAATGATGATTTGAAAAGTATAATTATTTTATTATTATTTATTAAAAAAAAATAATATAATATTCTCTCTACTAATTTTCAAAATATTTTTAAAAACCCTATATTAAAAATAGCTTAAACTAATAAAAATACATTTAATCGTCTCAAAAATTCATTAATATTTTAAACTTGATAAGAGTTCAAAAATACCTTTTAAGCTTTCAAAAAAAAAAAATTTAAATATGGTAGCATTAATTTTGAAGGGAATTAATAATACCTTATTTAAAAATTACTTTAAAAACTTTTAATAGAATTTAAAACACATCCTAAAATTTAAAAATATTTTTTTTAAAAAAATAGTTCTTGTGTTTTTAGAAGTTTCGTAAATACTTTAAAAAAATTAAAAACTACAAAAAAGACATTTTAAATACTTTTTTATTTTAAAATATTATTTTATGGAATTGTCATTAATACCCTTTAATTTTAAGAATGATTTATAAGAGGTAAATAAATGGTTTCCATTTATATATTGACATTAAGATCTTTTTAATATTTTTTTTTATAAAGGTAAAGAGTGTTAATACTACTTTTTAAAAATTTATAAATTTATAGATATTTTTATTTCACAAGATAAAATTATTAATGAAATTTTTTAAAATTTGAACGGTATTTTTGCATAAATACTAAATTTTTTTATTCAAAACTGTATTTTTAAAATTATTATTGAAAATTTTGAATGTTAAAATATATTTTTATTAATTTATCCTTAACAAAAACCCGAACATCAATCCTATATCATACGGGCCTGAGAAGCTTTTGTAGAACGTAAGCCCAGCAAGACGTGGGCCCTGAAGCCCATTAGCGAATTTTAACGGGCCCTTGAAATTGACATCTTGGCCCACTTATTTCTAACTTCTGAGCATGACAAATTAATATTATCTCATCATGAATCAAGAATAAATAAAAAATCTGTAATTAGCTTGCAAATTAAACTAAGAGGTAATTATAATTAATGTAAAATTAATGAGTGGGTTAATCATCATCTAAATGATTAAGTAATTAGCATTTGTTGGATATGATCCATTTTCAATTATTACTATATATGTACTTTTGTTTTAAATTTAAAAATCTTGATAACTTCTCGGTCAAATTCCCCCGAGTCATATAAATAATGTGTTGACTATGTGATAGCTACGTTTTATTGACATTTGTATAAAATTTCTAAAATTTTGAGGCTCAATAAAAAAATGATACATGAATGAATTAAGACCACGTTCGAATAAGAGCAATCTTGATAATAGAAGGACTATAAAAGGTTTAAAAGAATTGAAAGTCGTTATTTACACCAACATCATGCACCTTTCTTTTTGGTGGCTCAATCATAAGAACTTCATAGTAATGTTGCTATGTTGTAGAGGAATGTCAAAGTCATCACGTGTCGAATCCGCATACTTATTCATGCTCGTAGTTTGATCAGAGGTCAACAAGTGTGATCTCGTAGAAGAACATAAGCTATTCATGCTCATAGTTTGATCGGAGGTCAACAAGTATGATCTCGTTGAAAAATATAAGTCATCCATCTCAACGTGACACGTGAATTGCTCAATAATACTTCACTATTATCATAGATGACAAAAATAACTTAGTAGTCGAGAATGTTAGAACTACAAGGTGAGAGGTTCAATTCTCGGTACTAAAATAAATGATTATGACATCGTAATAAGCTCGATTAAAGGAATGATTATATAAAGCGAGAAGCGCCAAGAACAGGAACAGCGGAAGAAATCTCCATTAGAATCCTTTTAAGAAAGCCATTGAAACCGCCATTGTCTTTGCCAAACAACTCATTCATCTTTTTCACCTTACAATCGCATCGGACCTTCATCAACCACTTTCTCATTCGAACTTCCCTAATCGACCTCCAAATCACCGCCGCTCGTGGCGGCCTTCTGCCACCGAGGCGGGCCGTCGACAGCTTCTTCCTCCGCAGATGGATCCACCGGCGCAACGGTCGACGGTGGCCGGAGAGGAGGAGGGGTTGAGCCTCGTCTTGTAGCTGTGATTCATAAGACTGAGCCATGGGGAAGTGTGGGAGAGATTTGAGGGCTGCGGCCCTATTTATAATGTTTCTTTGGGGATTTTGGGGAATTGTTTGGACTTTGTGAAAATTAAATTAGCCATTTTATTATTTTGGGGTTTGCAAGTTGGTTTTTGTTTAATGAATCAATTAGCTTTTGAGTGAGAAAAAAAAAGTTCATATATATATATATATATATATAAACTAGCTCTAATTAGCCTTTATATTCTATTTTCTTTTTTATAAATTTAAGTTTTAAATACTATTTTCATACTTTTTATTATCATTTTTTTTTTTTTGTTAATTTTGATCACGAGCGAGGAAGCAGTCCCACATGGGAGGAAGGAAAGAGTGTGGTTGGGGAGAAGAACAAACCATCATTTATAAGGGTGTGGAAACCTTTCCCAGCACGTTTTAAAGCTTTGAGTGGAAGCACGAAAGGAAAATCCCAAAGAAGACAATATCCGCTAGCGGTGGGCCTGAGTCGTTACAAACGGTAGTTATATTTATGACTTTATTATTCACACCTATTGTATACTTTTTTTAATTATATATACAAAGAGAATTTGTGGGATGAGATTCAATCTTGGAAAGGCTTTTAAATGTTGAACTATATTATGATTAATTATATAATATTTCTCGATGAATTAGATTTGTTCAAATCTTAAAATAATGAAATTATTGATTAGAAAAGTAATACCCAATTCACCTAATTCGATAGATGACTTGATTCACTTAAAATATGAATGAATTGAGTTTTAAAAAGTTTTTGTTATTATTTATATAATCACAATAAATCACTAACTTTATAATTATTCATACATGTTAAAATATTAAAGATTAACTTTACGATACAAATGATATGAATTGATTGGTTTTATCGAGGTCAAGATCTAGTCTTTATTTGGTCATAAGGATACTAGTTCTTATTAGATTAGAGGCAGCTGAATTTATTACATGAAAATTGAATTTGGTCGTATTTATTTATTTTTATCTTTTTTATTTAGTTTTACAAAAGTCTTTATTTATTTATTTTTATTTTTATTTTTGCTATAATCAATAAAGTCTTTCTTTGTGGCTCTCCCTTCTTTAGTTTTGCAAAATTAAAGAATTTTCATACCAAATCTCAACAACAAAGTCAGCTAAATGTTTTCCTTTTGTTTCATTGAAAACAAAGAAATATGATAAGAACAAGTTGGAAGGAGACTTTTTTTTTTTAAAGTAATTAAATACTATTACTTAGCCAATCATCGTGGCACCAAGTTAGAAGAGAGAAAGATTTGGTCCTAGGCATGAAAAAAGACATCAAAAACACATTGAAATGAGAGATTTTGAGACATTATAAATGTAAAATAGAAGGATTAAATGTTTGAACATAGATTCTACGTAGTTCCTTGATCTTCCTAATTTGGGCTATATTCGTATGATTTCATTAACATTTGGATTAAGAAAAAATGGAAGAAAACACATAAAGTTTAGCCCAAATTGAAAGTAAAAATTAAAATGAAACATGAAGTATATAGGAAGGAAGGAGGTTTAAAAGAATTGATAACCAAATCCATTGGTTAAATGCAACCTTACTTCTGAAGTGTTCTAGATGGCCCAATCCAACTACTTAAAGAGACTTGAGCATTTAGCTTTAAGCATATCAATTTCAAAAAGAAACTGAAAAATGAAAGCCCTAAAGAGAGGGAGGGGGGAGGAAAGTATGCAGAAATTTCATTTTCAT